TTCATTAGATGTAAAAATTTGTATAAAAACCTTGTATGTAAGTGTTTTAAGTATTCGTTATGACTTATTTGTTTTTTTGTTATTAACTCTCAACTCTATCAGAGAACATAGAACATAGGTAGCTTTAAAAGTAATGAATGTAGGTATGCCTGTAGGAAATTTTTTCAGTTATTTTAACAGTCAAACTTACTGAATCGTTTATTTTGGAAACAAAACTTCTTAAAACAATATTATTCAGATTTTTGATTACTTTGAATTCTATAAAACATAAATTTTTTAAAACAATAAATATAATAAATCAACATTAAATTAAAAAAAAACAACAATGAAATTGGAAGTATTCATTTTAGACGGTGATATAGTCATTAATCTGTTAAATCTGTTAACATGACGGAAGTAATGATTGATACTTTATATTCGATGTTGGCAAATGACTCTGAAGTGTAAATCCGTCCACTCTTGTAACATTATGTCAACGTTAACTTATGACAGTTTCTCTAAGTTATAAATCCGTCCATGCTTAGAAAATTAAGACAGTGTTCATTTATAATGGTGACTCTAAGTTGTGGATTCACAACTCTTAAAACATTGAAACAGTGTTCTTTTATAATGGTAACTCTGAGGTGTGAATCCGTCCACTGTTAGAACATTAATGGTTACTTTGAGGTCTTCCTTTTTGGTCTTCCTTGGTGATACATTAAGGCGTAGTAAGTCGATATGTACCGTAAGAACTTAAGTGTATTTCACATGCATATTCTGTTTTCGCTTAAGTTCTTACGGTACATACCGACTAACCGACTAATATACCTACTAAGCCTTTAAGGATCGTTTTTATAGTCGTAACTTAAATCTTAATACTAACTTAATTAATGCTTATGTCTTAATGCTTATGTCAACTTTGCTGCCTTAATATTTCTAACAATTTTGAGACTTAGTTTATTTTGAAATTGATATCATCAAATTAAAATTAACTAAATTTATTTATTTGAAACACAAAAATATTCACAATAATTTAAGTCCACTTTGAATTAGAATATTTACGCTGTCTGGATGTATTACATCAGTAAATGATGAACATTAATTTTTATTATTATATCTCTACGGACTATTATAACTATTTGTGTCATTACGTCTAAATTAGGCTATTGTATTTTGCACTTTCTAGATTCACTGAAAGAGTGTTTCCACTTCAACTATATTCAGAGAAGTCCTAATCTTTTCTAGGTCGGTATTGAATGAATATAATTCGTGAATCAATTTTTGTGAAAAACTCTACTACTATGATGTAGTAGGGAATATGTACGGATTTTTCTATGTCTTTCAAACATAATCTGCATATAAGGTTTCTGATACGTTTAATCATATTTTATATTACCCGTTCTAATTCCAAACATTGTTTTTAGATCCGATCTGTTTAGAATAGATAGACATGAATTTGTTTTCTTAGCGTATTTTAAAAAGAGCTTAATGCAGCGGAACCCACCCCTTACAATATTTGCAATTGAAGATACTGCTGTAGTTCAGTTCAGTTAGGCTTTTAAAGTATTTGTTGCTGAGACCTAGAATTGTCTCTGGGTCATATGGTTGTCTTGAGGTAACTAGCTTATTCAATTTGTCTGTCACCTTATTGCCTTGAAAAATAGCCACATTATGAATAAAAAATTTTAATATATTCTTATGGACAATCATCTTACTTTGTCTTTAAAATATACAACAATTTTAGTATATGTATCTTAGAATAGTCTTGTTCTGGAAAATTTTGAATAGTTGTAAATTTAATTTGAAATATTGTAGGTTTATTAAATATACGTAACTTTAAACAAATATGTGCATATAACTTTTTATTGTGAGTGATACTTTTTATTTATATTATTTTCATTTATAAAACTAAATCTTAATCCTTATATAAACTACTTACTACTCTGCAATCTATTATTATTATGAACAATCTATTTCTGTTCTAATTTTTAAGACAGATAAACAAAAACTTTCTCGGCACGCCTCTAAAAACAAACAAAAGCTCGGGTAAGAAATGTTGGTATATATATATGCATATGTTTTAAGATATATAGATATAGATATAGGATATGTATACGAATATAATCACAGACATATTTATATATGTACATATGTATTTTTGATGTGAATTATATTTCTGGGGAATTTTTTCATTTATCAAAATGTTGTATTTTATTTTTTTTATTATTCGTTAATAAACAAAATCCCCTTGTCGCCACAGCTAAGTAGGGTTGTGATATTTTTTATGGACCGTCTTTCTTTCTCACTTATCTTAATGTGTAAAAAGATACTGTTACTTTCGAAATTTTATAACGCGTTGAACTTTTAAAAGGTGAAGCAGTAAATGATTTTTGGTAATGATTAGAGTTTGGAGTTTTTAAATAGAAAAATCTAAAAGTTAGTCCATAAGAAACTTATTATTGGCAGTCCAATTTCTCTCGTCACCACAAAAGTTAAAAGAATATTCTCAGTTTGTATACTAAGATTTAATTCTTTCTTATGAAGTTTTAAGGACTGTTAACATAAAACGTGTCTTATCTAAATGTATATTAAATATATATTAGTCTAACACCGGGTTGTTCAAAGCACGGTCCGACATGTTTTAATCTACCACAATTATTCAAATTTTCTTTTGGTGTACTTGTAAAACTACATTATTTTATTTTTATAGTATACCAAATAAATTAAATTAAATTAATAAATTAATAAAACTAAATTTAAACATTTAACCGAATTTTTATTTTTGTCGAAAGAAACTATGAACGTGTGTATTTGTTTCTGCGGCCCTTCAATCTATACAGTGATACACATAGAACGACTCAGAGATAAATAGTAGAGTAACAGCTTTTTTTCTAACTATGGTATATCATTCACCAGTGACTTTATTATTTAAATTTAGTTTTTTTAAGGTTTTGATAAAATCCAGGTCAATCATATTGAATTTTGATCATAACTGCACTTTGTGATTCAATCGCAGTCTGATTTTTCAATAATGTTGGTATATTTTTAATATTTTTATGGAGCCATCCATTGAAGTTTTTTTTTATTACCTCTCCGTCTCATTGAATTTACAAGTTTCTTAAACCAGACAATAAAATAAATATTTCTACTACTTACGCTCCAACTCCTTTTATAAGGAACTATTCCATATGAGTGACAGGTTTCTTAAGACTTGTCTCCTTTTGTAAGGAACTATCACATTTGAGTAACAACTTTTTTAATACTTGTCTCTTTTTATAAGGAACTATCCCATTTGAGAACAAGTTTCTTAATACTAGACTGTGATTAACGTACTCCTTGTAAAGAATCATCTAATTGGACTGTGAAATTTCTTTATTTCTTTATATTTCATTATTGAAATAATTTAATAATAATATAAATTGACACTAATTCTATATATTGTATCTATATTATATATGTATATTTAATCTAACGTAATTAACGGTATATGTTATTATACTAACGACTAATCAAATATCTACTTCTATTAAAACTTCTGCTAGTTAGTTATATTAATAAATTTGCAATTGTGTATTTTTTAATTTTTTATTTATTTTTTAATTTTCATAAATTTTACTTAAAAATAGTGTCTTTATTAAAACAGCTTGTTCATAATTGACAATAAATAAATTTTTCTTCTATAATATCACATTCACCATATATCACATATATAAAATCATTCACCAACATTCATAACTCTTATTATAGTCGTATATATAATTACTAATACATTTATAAAATATATAATCATTTAACTAGTAAATTTGATGTAAAATATCATTTGTTTGTTTCCAGTTTTAAGAACACTAATCTCTATTTTTAAGCACTTTCAAGACTTTGCTTGACTGGCTCATCAAGGCTTGCTCTTGGTATAAGTAGAGAGAGGAAGGCACAACAATATAGGGCAACACAGCCAATATAGAAGGTCAATTCGCAATGAGTACCTAGTAATGCTCCAACAATATTAGCACCAACAACGCTGCCCAAACGACCAACCATTAGAGAGATGCATATAGCCATAGCACTGTAAGATTAATTTATATGAAATTAGTATAAATTATTTATAATAATTGAATTTTAATTATAAACAGATATAATTAATTATAAGTAATTAAAAATTTAAGTTATTTAATCTTACTTACCGTAAATTTGTTGGGTACAGTTCTACTGTTGTCGCACCAAGTACATTGATAGCTACACCTACTAAAAACAGTAAGACGTACAGGTAAGCTGTTATTGATGGATCTACAGTGAAAACTGCTGCCAAGCCACATGAACTGAAGAAGATCATTATAATAACTAAAATACAAAAAAAAAATATTACGAAAATTATAGATTATATATAAAAGTATATAGTTGTTGTAGTAGAACTCACATAACACAGTTACTTTGCTAACACGATTAATAATTAAGCCAATGAATGCAAATGAGGATGCATATAATATTTCCATAACTAAAGAGTAGAAATAAGTGTTGTCCTCCAATTTTGTTATGCACTCCATGGACTGCAAATATGTTTAATATATATTAATTATTTATTTATTATATATTCAGTTTATTTTTGCACTTACACCATCAGTCTTATAAAGTGATTCATGTTTATCATACACGATTTCACAGATTTTCTTATGTTGTCCTGGGTTTTCATTCATGAATTCAGCCATGCTGTTGATGATGTGTGGGAACCACATATATAAACCATTCGTTATCACATAGAGCCAAAATTGTACTGTGCAAACAATAAGCGTAGTGCGTAAATACTTTTTGTGAAAGAGTGGCACAGTTTGGTCCCACATGGTCTGCAGGAATGCAATGAACATTTTTGAGTTCTGGGAAGTTGACATTTTCGCTGGCGAATGATTCAAGTCTTCCTCAGGTACAATACGCTTAATCTATAAAAATATTTGATTAGAAAATTATTGAAACAAATAATTAAAATTATATTTAACAAAATTGTAAGATATAAGATGGAGTACAAGATTATAATGTTTGACTTTTACCTGTAACTGTTCTCGGCTACCATTCCAACGTAACATTTTCTGTAGTACTTCAATTGTTTCAGTTTGTTGACCAATTGAAAGTAAAAACTTTGGACTCTCAGGTAAAGCATAAAGTGAAATTCCACATAGGAAACCTGGTATGCCACACACAATCAGAAAGAAACGCCAAGGTTTGTAATCAATGCCCAAAAATGGCAAAGGTAATATCCAGTCTTGATTGATAACGAGAAAAGCGATCAAAGGTAAGATCATAGCACCTATAAGTAAATAAGGTTGGTTATTACATTTACAAATATTTTTATTATAATGTTTATTATTGTTTTATTATAAATTATATATTAAACAATATAGTGTATAAATTATTACCAAGGGCAAATATAAATGAGGAGCCCATCATGGCACGAGAGCGTGTTTTGTCGGTGTGAAATTCACCCAAATAAGCGTATATGGTTGCTGAACCGCCAGAAACACTAAAATAAAAATTAAATTTATTTATTACAAATCAAATTATTATTTTTTATTTATATTTATTAATAACAAATAATTTCACAATTAGAATTATTTGAACCTAATATAAATATTTTAACTTTTAAGTATTTAATTTTTTTTATTTATAATTTATAGACAATAATTATTAATTTTCTATAAAATACTTACAAGAAACCATTAATGAATCTCAACAACACCATCATCCAGAATTTATGTGAAAAACTAGAAAATACGGTAACTACAAAGCCGGCTAACAAAGTGGGTCTAATCACTTTCCTGCGTCCTTTTGTATCGGCTAGAAATCCCCACAGATGTGAACTGACGATAATGCCCGCAAATCCAATGGCACTCAATATGCCCTTATCTTGATTTGTCAACTGTAGATCGCATTGTGCAATTGGCAGTATAAATCCAATGGCTGCAGTTTCCAATAATACATTGGCTAAGACCATGCCAGAGATGAATATAAGAAAATAATTGAATTTTCCAAATTCTAAAATGAAAGTGAAATTTTTTAATTTTTATTTAATAATCTTTTTAATTCTTTATTATTTATGATATTTACTCACTGGTTAGTGTTAATGCTTCCGTAAATAAAATTCCATCTTGTCTGTTGTTGTTGTCATTTTTCTTTATGGGTTCCTGACGTATGACGGCGAGCACTAAAATTATATTATATGTAAATATTTCAGCGTAAGTACGTAGTTTATTTATTAAATACACTTTTATGATTATTTAATTAGTAGATAAAAGGTTTATTAACTTTTTGTATATTTTCTTACACATTATATATATTTATAGGAAATAGCAAAGACCCCATGGAAACTATGAAACTATGTCAGTAGAGTGTCAGTAGAAGTGCTTAAAAACCGATATTTAAGGCAATA